ACATCTCTGAAAAATCGACTGCGAGAGGTGGAGTCACGCATCGATTGATGAGAGACGGTGACGAGAGGGGAGCGGGGAACGGTGAGCGGGCGAACACGGTCGCTAGAGATGTCAACAAACACACCATTTTGCATGCTGCCGAGTCCGGCCTTACGCTCCTCTGTTCACTTCTTGGCTCAGACGTTTTTCTGAATTAGGCGATAATAATTACGATTTTGTACAATGTTATATAACTTTTCTTCTCAGTTTAACCCAATCTACTATAATCTTTGGGGTCGTCCATATCGAATCTGACACCCTGTATACATATAGTACTTTTGCTGTAAAAAATACAATACCAGTAATATTAATTTCTTTTCATTTTAATAATATCATTGCATAATGGACATTGTTTTTAATTAAATTTAGTTGTATTGTTCAATATGCATTTACATATTTAACATTGACACTGTTGAAGCTACGGTACCGATCATGAATATGATCGCAGAGGATTGGGTACAATCGAAAACTGTTCAAGATAGAAAGATTATGATTAGACATGCGCAGTATGCACGCGTTACTGTTATTTGTGCTTACTGCATAATGGGAGTAGCATGCTTCTTTTCTGTCGTTCTCCCGACTTTTGGAATGTCAATGAGATTGACACCCAACATTACTGATCCAGGCAGTCCTATGCCTCTACAATCATATTATATTTATGATATAACGAAAAGACCGCAGTACGAATTAACGTTTCTCAGTCAAGCAATCGGCATGGTTCTCGCGGCAATGTCTTATTCTGGAATCGACAATTTTCTCGGGTTAATAATCTTCCATATATGCGGCCAACTGGATATTCTTAAAAATCGTTTGACATATCTGGATAAATATATCAATTCTCACACTATGCTAAAGAGCTGTGTAGCAAAGCATATTAGTTTACTTAGGTTTGATATTTATATAAATTCATGTAATTAATTTGCACGAAATAGGTAGTTAATTAAATGTCTAATACAAAAGTTATGTTTTACAGAGCCATTGAGATTATTGAAGACACGTATAACGTAACACTTTTAGCTTTATTCGTATACTTTGCAATACATTTGGCCTTTTTCGGTTTCCGGTTTATCAGCGTGAGTATGCAAATATTTATACGTAAAAATTTTGCTTATTAATACATTTTCCACGCAAAAATAAATACTACTCAAGTTATGACGTTATGTTACTACAGCCGTAGACAACATTATTAGGCAGCCTCCAGATTATTATACTGCAAATCTAAATATGCTACTATTATATGCATATTACATATGTGTAATTTGGTGAAGCACTTTTTGGATACTTTCTTCTGTTTCAAATCACGACACGTGACGTATTAAATTTAATACTAGAAACATTTTTATTGTTTAAAAATTATTTACTGCATAGAAGCAATTAACGTGTAACTAAACAATTTTTAAAAAGTAGAAATCTTCCAGGTATTAGATTCAGTGCAGTATAATATTTAGGAGGATGCTTAATAAGTTTGACAATGCTGTAAATTTATACGATGCATTATGATAAATATCTAAATTAATGTTATGAATTATTACATGTTCTTATGTATATGTATATTCTAAATTATTAGTTATTCGACGAAGGAGATGATTTATCAGTCACAAGTTTGATATACTTTGTATCCACGATTTTTAACATATTTGGACATATGTGTTTATACTGTGCTCTAGGCGAATTTTTGGTTGCCAAAGTAAGTTACCTTCTTTATTTGTCGATAAACATCGTACAAGTTATATGTGCTCTGTTTTACTTTACATTTATGTTACTAATATGTACAGTCTATTTACACATATTCGGTGCCGTGTCAGTGGCCTTTTTGACGTATGTATAATACATATCAGTGATGGTTATTTACACCTATTAATACAGTTTGCACTCAGTGATGTTGAAGATAGCTCATTCACGGAATTGAAATAGTACAAGACGTGTGAACAAGTTAAAAAACAAAAGAACAATATTTACCATGACTATATTGGTAGAAAAGCACGAAACTGAGCGGATACGGCACTGATGCGTCTCACGGATATATGTAAATAGATCTTTAGATGACATTTAAGAAAGATATGTTAGTGTTAATATAAAATTCAACCCTTATTATACATAAGCACATAACAGAAATAAAATTAGTATGAAAATATAACATATTGATGATGATATAATGTCATTTGTATTAAATTTAATTTTGTCGAAGTTGTATTTATTAAAACATTTTAAGTAGATAAATTAGTTGTCTGTTGTATTCTTGATTTACATGAACATATTAATATATATTTTACATAAGAGCACAAATTGCTTGAGCATCAATGGCTAAATTACTTTCCTTACAGTATAATATATATATATGTATATAATTTTAATTAAATAGACTTTTACCACTTTTTAGTGTGATGCATTGTATTATGGAGCCTACAGTAATGAATGGTATTCCGTGGATCCAAAACTGACACGCGACTTGTTGCTTGTGCTAATACGAGGTGCTAAACCGATTTATCTCACCGCTGGAAAAATGTTCCCTTTAGCAATGACCACATTTTGCAATGTAAGGTATTTTAGTGATTAATTATAATGATTGTGCCAAAGCCCATTTGAAAATGACATCATCTTATTATCCTCTAATTTCGGGACACCCATTGTGGGTGCGTGTGCGTGTCTGTGTTTCATGCCTACCTCTGTGAACCTCATCTTATATGTATGTAGGGTCTGACATAAAAGTGACAAATCGAAACATGGAGATAAATTGGAATAAATTGTGTTCCAACAATCATCCTTCGGTACGCGACGCGCAAGCTCAGATGTAAACGATCATATGCACGCGCGCTCACACGCACAACACGCATGCGCATATCCACTCTCCCCCAACACACATTTTTTAAACCTTATGTGTAATTACAAATGTATTACATTATTAATTATGACTAATAAGATATATTTTTCAGTTAATAAAAACATCGGTCGGATATGTGTCTCTTTTACATACGACAAGAAGTTATTAAAAATGTCTGATCAGGCTAAAATTTTTCTAATAATGTTATTTTTGTAAAATGCAATAAGCTAAGTGTTGTGTAAATATTAAAGCAAATAAATGATAGATTTTACTGCATGATTTAAGAAAAATGTATTTGGATTTCAACTATTATTGATAACTGGAAGCAAAACAATTTGTAATTGTTAATTGCAATTATTAATAACTTACATAAAAATTAAATTATTCATTATCACTTATTATTAATAAAGAAATATATATACACATATATGTATATTTACAACTTGTTTTCTTCAAATATAATTTGAGAAATCTTTCAGCACATACAGATCGTACAATTATTTCTGATCTTTTGTTTTAAAATATTACTTAATAATTAGGACATAAATTTTTGGGATATTGAATTCAATATTTGTTATTTTGAATTAATGTATTAAATTTGTCGGCAATATGTGTCATATGTTTAGTCACTAAATATTAATATTAACAACTGAAAAAATTTCGCAATGTATTTGCCAGTTAAAATAAAGACTATACAGGGTGCTACGCAAGACTTTGACGTCCGGTCATGGGAAGGTAGAGGGGACTAAGACAAACAGAAAAGTATTGTACTATTTTGCGCTTGGACGAATAGTTATCGAGATACGAAATTTTAAAAATCGCCGTATTAGCCCAACCTACTGGCGAATGTGAGCGCGCGGTGAGATGCGTCGGCCTAGCGGCCCTGCTCGAGGCGGTGTTCGGCGAGGAATAGAATGGCGGTGCGGGGCGAGGAGTAGGGTGGCGAGGCGCGCCGCTGCCCGTCCGCCGCTTACGCGACCGCTCGCACGTCTCCCCGCGCGGGGCCACTAGGCGTCCGCATCTCACTGCGCGCTGACATTCGCTAGTAGGTTGGGCTA